GTTTCGCCTAGAAGCTGAGATGTATGCTGTAAATGACAGATGAGCCAGCACCAAGGAGAAGCGGTTTTCAAAAACTGCATTCTCCAGTGACCTAGGATTTCTCTGGGGGCCCAGCAGGAGCTTCAGCCATTAACAGCAGAAAAACCGCCCAGTGACAGCTTGCTTGCTCTCTCTACTTATCATTCTCCTTCAGCATTGGACAGGGCTTTTTTTCAGCCAGAACTCAGATCTGGCCCCCTCTCAAGCGGGCACCATTGCCACTCTAAAAGAATAAGGGAGTTCTGGCACCTCTTTTTCTAGGAAAATAGCACTGGCTTTGAGTATGTTCTAGGTCTCACATAGGTAAACTGAGTCTGCAAAGACACTCCTCCTCCAGCCGCCTGGTGCTTCCTCTTAGAATGCAGCCTAAATTGAACCTGGAAAACGCAAACAAGGAGCAGCAGAACCTCAGACTGGTGCTTAAGATTTAAAAATGTGCAAGTAAGACGGGCAACAAAATTGTTGCCATAACTGCAGGAGACCTGTTCTACTTTATGTCCATCTATAGTCCAGCAGTGTCCCCTAAGTTGTTGTTTTTTACAAATGCCATAATGTTAGTTTTCTGGTAACTGAGCACTAAATGATCACCCCTAGATCAGAAGGGTTCCCTTCTGACAGATAAATGATCAACTAGAACTGCTTTTTAATGTACTGTATATGTAATTTTGTTTTTATTTTAGTTTGTTCTGAGATTTTAAACTTTGTAATTGGTGATTTTATCCTGATACTGATCATTGACCATAATAAAACGACTTGACACTCCCTAATGAACATTGCAAAGTTACTAGAGGTCACCAAGTATGCTCAGTGTTTGCTGTGCTGTTGTGTTTTTTGTGTTTGGACTTTGAGAGAGGAGGTTGTGGTTGTAGCCCATGTTAGTCCTACTTAGAGTAGACTTATTGAAACTGATGGATATGGCTAATTTTGGTTCTTTAATTGCCCCTCGTTTTGTTTATTATTTATTTATTTTCAAAATATGTACAATAAAGAAGATAATAAAGATTCTTAAAATACCCAGTTGTGTAAGACGGATAATGAGAACGGTCATAGCATATAGCCCTTTTGCTATTATATTGCATTTTTTCTCTGCTTTGTACTCATTTTCTTCCTTAAAATGGTTTAGCAGTGCCGGTTTGTGGGGTTTTAACAATATCTTTGCCTGTTATTTTGCTCGTTTCACGAAAACAGTATCCCAGAATCCTGCCGCCTTGGCACATGACCACCATATATGGCAGTTCTTTAAGTTTAATGGTTCTGCTCTGAGTAGAACTTGGCTGGATGCAACTCCTTTAGTTTTTTGTACTTCTGCATTTGTTGGGATTTACTCAAGCAGCTGAGCCCTCTCATTTCTCAGTTTTGGCTCTAGTCCTGCCGGCACTGGAGCACTGGGTTTGCTATTTGAAGGAGTGATTATGATTACATACCCAGTTGGTTTCAGCAGTTCTCTTTCTCAAGGCGTTGATCTCTCATCCTGATGACAAAACTGAAAATTCATACTCTCCATAATGATCTAATTAGTAGATCCGGGTGCACATTCTCTCCCTGTCCCCCTGCCCTGCCCCATGATCTACTCATATTCAGGACCCTCATAAAAATCCTGTTTGAGATTATTCTGTCTTGCAGGAATCAGTGAAAAGCCAGCTGGGTCAAATGCACACTTTAGCTCTCTTTTTTTGGGGGGGGGGGGAGTTCCCCAAAGAGGCACTGGGTTAAAAAGAGATGGGTTGGTGCAAATGGGAGATTTTGGATGAAGTACAAAGAAAGATCCTTTCTTCATCCCACACTTTTTTCAACAAAAACACAACAGTCAAGCTGGCTGCACAGGGAATGGGTAGGGTGGGGTGTTATTTTCTTGCCTAGCGTCAGAAGAGCAAGCAAACTATGAGATGTGTTTACCAGCTTCAGTGACAAAATACGCAATTAAAAAGAAAGAAATACAACGGCACCTGGTAAATGTATTTTGCTAAGTCTTCCGAGAAGGACCTAGCTCTGGCTGGATCCTATACTGCTAGCTGCAGGAGTGGATTTATTTAGTCTGACTCCTGTGTCCAACCCTCACAATACTGGAACTCAAGGACATCCAACGAAGGTGAGCTTTGGTAGATTCAAGACAGACCAAAGAAAGTCCTCCTTCACACAACACACAGATAAAATATGGTATGCGCTCCCACAAGAGGCAGTGATGGCCACCAACCTGGATGGCTTTGAAAGAGAATCAGGTAAATTCATGGAGCAGGCAGCTACCAAAGGCCATGTTTTCCTCCACTGTCGGAGGCAGTATGCCTTGAAATAGCAGTTGCTGGGGAACACAACAGCTGCACTCAAGGTCCTACTTGTGGACTTCTCATGGACAAGAGACTGGTCATTGTGAGAACAGAGCACTGGTTTGGATGAGCCTCTAGCCTGGTCCAGCAGGGCTCTTCTTATATAGTGCCAACTAGAGGAGCACAGGCTCAATCTGGCCCACAGTTGGTCTGCTAACCACTGCCACTATCCCTCACCCACATCTCTCTCTTCCTTGCTTTTTCCTTCACTTGTCTCTTGTTGACAAGCAGAAGGAACACCTCCCTTTTACTTTCAGCTGACATATAAAGATACTTCATACACCGAGTCAGATCATCTGTCCATCTATCTGTGTGATGTCAGCCAACAGCAGCTCTCCAAAGTCTTAGAGACAAAGAGAAGTCTTTCTTGGCCCTGTTACAGTACATATGCCAAGCTGGTGCTCCGCCCAATGAGCCATGGTCCTCTTCTCCTCCAAGACATCTGCCATTGTGCTCTCTTTTAAAGAAGAGTCCTTGACCTAGACTGTCAAGCTTTTGTCTCCAAATCTACAAGAAGTTAGTTAGCACATTTCACACAACACAGGTACCAGCCATGTACACTTGTTGATTTGCCCAGCTCAACAATGGTGTACACAAGTACACAGAAGACAAGACAGAAGGAGTTTCAAATTCAAACCCGGTTTCAATCTAACTTGCTTGGTCCAATTAATTTCAGTGTCTCTGGAAATAAAAACAACTGGAACATTTATTTCAATAAGGCAGTTCAAAGGAACAAAATTGGATCAAGATTGTTTATTGTGATTTCAAGATAGCTGCGCAAATCCAAATGCCAGACGTTTTTAAATAACTTTTTTGAGAAGGGGAGGAGAGATTCTGAGGCCTTTATGGATTCTCCCCTTGAGGATTTACTAGTGGATTTCAAGAAACACTTGCTGATTTGCACCAAAGAAAAACAAGACCCTCCCTCCCTCCGACTCAGAGGCTTTCTCAAGTCAATACGAGCCCAAAATACATCTTATAATCAAAGTTGTTACAAAAGCACCTGAATTAGACTTGGGCACCCAGGCAGGACTCCATACTGTGATATGATAAAGCAAGCCCCTTGCCCCAGTGAGGCTGAAAAGCATTGCTCAGACCTAAAAACAAACAGCAAATTCTGAAAAACCCATAAATTGGGGAGTCAACACCCTGAAACTTTGGGAAGATGGGTTTTGAAATGAAAACCAGCTGTCTTTGAAAAAAACAACAACTAAAATTACGCCTAAACAGCGGTGGGTGAGCCAAAACCATGGCAGTGCGCAGACAACAGAATAGAATGTAACCAAGAGGCAGGGTGGTGTAGTGGTTAGAGCATCACACTATGACAGGAGAGAGCTGAGTTCAAATTCCTCACACAGCCACAGAAATTGCCAGGGTAGTCTTAGGCCAGTCAAAATCCCTCAACCTAACAAGTCTTAGAGCTGCTGCAAGGATAAATGGGCAAGTGGAGAAAAGGTGGGTGTCACTCTCTGTTGCAGATGGTGCTCAGTGAGAACGGCAGGGCAGAAGGGAGGAAGACCAATGGTAAGTGGAGCAAGAGCAAATGACAGCCAACTCATTCCAATATTTTCTGGCTGTAAGTAAGAAGGCAAGCAGTTGAGGGCTTCTGGAAGGCTTTTCAGCTGAAGAGCAGAGCAAACCTGCTTTAAACAAAACATGCATATATCTGAAGAGTGCTTTATTTAATTAGAGCATTTTAATCTTGCTCTTCAGTTGAAAAGGCTTCTGGAGAAGCTTACTAAATATCATTAGTCCCTGACCTCAGGATTATAGTCTAAAATACACGATACAAAAGAAAAAGGGGATGAGGAGGGAGGAGAGGAAAAGCACCAGTTCTTAAAGCTGGCATGGAAGCAGTTCAGATAGCCTGATGGAAAGGCAGTTGCTAGACGGCAGATGGGAGAGCACTTCAGTGGCTCCCCCTTAATGCTCTCCACATTAAAGGGCAACCACAAACTCTAAAGTGGGTTCTGTTGCTGAAAGTTGATTCCACAAGCCTCACAAACTCGCGTGAGATTTAACAGCTGCTGAATCATCCCCATTTAATGTGCCCTGGAAGTACAGAAGTCCTATACACACTTCTTAAAGGAACCTCAGGCCCCAAGATGGAAATAATTACCCATCAAATCCACTGGCAATTAGCTTAGCCACCATGCCCACAGGAAGATGGGGGAAGGAAACCTTCCCACCACGGAGGTTTTCATTTTTTCGCATTGGCTCAGCTCCTGTACTTTTAACAGGAGCCTGAAGCTCCCCACCCCCCACCCCACATGTGACTCTACCTCCATGCCAGGAAATAGATTTGCTACTAAATTTCTCTACATTGTGAGGAGAACAAGAGCCATCCCCTCCCCATAGGAGTGAAACAGAAGAGATGACCCCAGCTACTCCAAATACCCATCACGTCTGCTTGGGTGGTGGGTCTACAATCCCCTCCTTTTGCTCACCCCTGAGAACTCAAGGTGGTAGGGCTACAGGCATTGTTGCCACCTCTCCCTCTACCAATGCTTTGGGGCCTTGGAAGGCTAAGCAGTGGCCTTCCAAACACTGACAGCAACTCCTATTAGCATGGACAAGGGTCAGGGTGGTGAATGTTGCAGTTCAGCAATTACATCTGGAGATCCACAGCTTAGTTACCTCCACTTTAGAAACCTGAGCTCCATGAAGTGCAGCCCTGCCCATCATTTCACTGCACAGCCACTGCTGGGGGGAAAGCTGCACCTCTTGAATTTCAGTCTGCCATGCAGCTTTTGAAAGCTGCAATAGACCTGCCAGTGGAAAAGAAAAAGATAACTCCAGCACAGTAGCTGATAGGGTTGACATAGAAAGTGATATTGGCAGTGCTTTTTTTCTGGGGGGACGCGGGGGGACGCATACCCCTAAACGTTTTGTGAATCTAAGTTTGGCCTCGTTGAGGGGCAGTATTTCAAGATGAGTAGGAAAATGAGAGTACCCCTAAACTTTTTTTTATAGAAAAAGCACTGGATATTGGTACCATCATTTTTCCACTGCCCCTGGCAAGGCTCAGAGATCTCTAAGGAACTGTTATTGTTATTTATGATTAATGGGGAAAGAGACTCTATTTAGTTTTATTGTATTTTTAAAATTTTACATACCACTAGGGTCAAAACTCTGCGACAGAGCAAGTACTGTGCAAACAGACATTGCCTGGTTCAAACCAAAAATCCCTGCCTGAATCTCTAGGGAGCCTATTTAAAGAAAACTGGAAATGCTTTGTAGATTTTGGAAAATTATTGTAAATTCAGTAGTATTCAGTAAATTCAGCAGTAGCAATCACTGAGAGATAAAACTGAGAAAATAAAAAGATAGTGATTAATTAGACTATGTACAGTCATACCTCGTGTTAGAGACGCTTTGGGTTAAAATTTTTCAGGTTGCGTCCCGCAGCAACCCAGAAGTAACGGAACGGGTTACTTCCGGGTTTCGCCACATGTGCAGACACTCAGAATGACGTCACATGCATGTGCAGACGCGGCTAATTGCAACCCGCGGAGATGCTGGTTGCGTTCTGCTCATGATGCGAACGGGGCTCCGGAATTGATCCCGTTCGCATCCAGAAGTACCACTGTAGTGGAAAAGATAATAAGGAAGTGAACCATGGAAAGGGTGGGGGAAAGCCAAAATTAAATCTGTATTTGGATTATTATCTACTTTTTAAATTGTAAAATGAAACTGAGAAATATTATTATTGGGTTCTTTTTAAAAGAAACCCTAGAGAGCCACTCCCAGTTGAATGTTGATAATAAGGGAACTAGAAAGACCAGTGACCTGACTTGGTATAAAGTAACTTCCTATGCTCCTAGATCAAATTATTCTGAGGCAGTTTATAATCAGAAAAGTGCAAAAGAGATGAAACCGTTTAAAAAGGTGCGAAGGTGCTTGTTTGTTTGTTTGTTCGCGCAATAAAAGACCAGACTACAAAATCCATTAAAATCTAAACAATGTATCTTAAACGGTCTTGGTGAGCAAAAGGCAGCATGCTAGATCTCCTCACCTGCCCCATATTCACAACAACCCTGCAAGGTATAAGACAGGTAAGAATTTTAGCAGGTGCAGCCTGCCCTACTGTTGGGGGAAGGAGAGAGCTGCACCCTTTTTACTTCTGCCTGTCATGCCAGCTCTTTGAAAGCATCCTCGTTTTAATCCCCGCCCCACTCAGGCACACCAAGCCCCGCCCTTTCAGATAGGCCACTCCTACTGGGCGAGGCTTGTGGTTCGAACCGCAAGTCACGCCCACCCGAGAGTTCGGCGGTTGATTACCGTTGCGCGAAAAGCTGCGGGAAGGCTGCCTCGGCGCTGCTAGGCTCCATGCCTGCGGCGCCTCCCGCGTATCATCCCTCCCGCTCTGGGACCGACCGGCACTCCGGCCCGGCTCGGCTCGGCTGGTCGACTAGGCTCGCCAGCCAACAACCCCTCGCTGAAGCACCCGGGCGCCCGCCCACATTTCCCGCGCCGGCAAATCGCCGCCTCGGCTGCTCGCCTGCGCCACGCCCTCACGTAGGTACACTGACCAATCAGAAAGCCGTCCTCGCGGCATACCGGGGCACCTCGGAAGGCCGGCTCCTGCCTACTCAACCCGCGAGCCAAGACAGTCAACCATTCAAGAAGCACCTCTGAAGATTGGGGGCGGAACTCCCCCCAAAATCCCGCCTCCGCCAGACTCGGAAGCCAATCAACGCCTTCTGAAGGACGCAGCGCACCCTGGGATTTGTAGTCCGCGGCGGGGCTGAGTTTCTTGCTTTCTTTTACGCGCGTAAAAGTGGCAGCTCCTTCGCGCCCGACCTCCCAAATATTTAGGTGCATTTCGCGAAAATGTTAATTTGCTGGTAGCTGGAAGTGCGCGCGCGCATGAAATCAAACAAATTGCAATATACAAACACCACAGATTGGACACATTTGTCCTGCTCCTCCACGGTTGTGCCTGTAAATTAATTGATACAATATAGATGTTGGGGTGTGGGGAGCCCATGGCACTCCAGATGTTATCAGGCTCCTGATTCCTATCAGAGCTCCCATCATCTCTAACCATTAACCCTGCTGCCTGGGGGTCTGATAGGAGTCCCAACATCTAGACTAGAGGCTACCGGCTCCGCGGCCCTGAAGTTAATGCAGCAAGTAAACTCCTGAGTCAAATCATTCATCAATCTAGCTCAGTACTGTACACCAGTGGTTTTCCACCAGTGTGCTGTGACACCCTGGGGTGCCTTCAATAATGGTCAGGGGTGCTGTGGGCAACACTGGCCTCTGTCCCTCTTTCCTTCCCTCCCTCCACTGATGCCCTCTTGCCTCTTTGCCTTCCAAAGGCTTGCAAAACTGTTTGTTGCAAGCTGTTTGTTGTTCTAAAAGGGTTGAAAACCTCTGGTCTACACTAACTGACGGACTAGCAGAGACTTTCCAAGGTTTCAGAGAGGGATTTTCTCCCTACCAGGGATTAAAGCAGGGACTTTCTGCGTGCAAGGCAGATGCTTCGCTAATGAGCTATGGATATGTTTGGATAAGAAGACACTGTCCAGCATGGCCAATAGTCAGGGATGATGGGATTTTTAGTACAGAAGCATCTGGAGGACCACTGGTCTCCATCCTTGGGTTTGTTGTTGTTGTTTAGTTGTTTAGTCGTGTCCGACTCTTCATGACCCCATGGACCACAGCAGGTCAGGCACTCCTGTCTTCCACTGCCCCCCACAGTTTGGTCAAACTCATGTTTTCAACCTTTTTGGGTCCACGGCTCCCTCGACCAACTACATTCTTTCTGCAGCACGCCTGTGGGACTAAGGAGCCCAGTTATGTCACCCCCAGTTATAGCAGCCGCTCACCCCTTTTCGAACATCCTCCCTTGTGGAGTACAGTGGTACCTCTGGATGTGAACAGGATCCGTTCCAGAGCCCCGTTCGCATCCTGAAGTGAACGCAACCCGTGTCTGCGCGTGAACAGGTCGCGATTTGCCGCTTCCGTGCATGCGCGTGATGTCATTTTGAGCGCATACACGAGCGGTGAAACCCAGAAGTAACACGTTCTGTTACTTCTGGGTCGCTGCAGAGCGTAACCTGAAAATGCTAACCTGAAGCTACTTCAACCCAAGGTATGACTGTAATCCCTCAGCCTCCTCTCTCCACTCCTCTCCTTGGGAGTCTTCCGGGCAGCGACAGCAGCCGCCCCTGTCTCTGAGCTGTCCCTCTGCCCCCTGTCCTCACGCTGCCCCTTTGTGGCCTGGGAAGCACCTCCTGGCCAGCCCCAGAGGAACCATTCACCTGGGACGCTTGTAGCCAGGGCTGCTGCAGCAAACAGCTGTGCAAGCCTTTGGGAGGCAGAGACACGAGAGGGCATTAGAAGAGGGTGGGAAGGAAAGAGGGACAGAGGCCAGTGGAAAACCACTGGGTTAGACCATTCATGGAGGACAGATCCATCAGTGGCCATTAGTCACAAAACTTCTACAGTGGTACCTCGGGTTACAGACACTTCAGGTTACAGACTCCGCTAACCCAGAAACAGTACCTCGGGTTAAGAACTTTGCTTCAGGATGAGAACAGAAATCGCTCAGCGGTGGCACGGCGGCAGCGGGAGGCCCCATTAGCTAAAGTGGTGCCTCAGGTTAAGAACAGTTTCCGGTTAAGAATGGACCTCCAGAATGAATTAAGTTCTTAACCCGAGGTACCACTGTATGTCCAAAAGCTGTGCACCTGAAAACATCAGAAACTGGGGAAGCAACACAACAGGGGAAGGCTATTGCCCTTGTCTCCTACTTAGGTGCTTCCCATAAGCATCTAGTTGACCCTAGTGGGAAACAGGATGCCTGATTTGGAGGATGGCTGGCCTTGATTCAGCAATGGCTCTTTATCATCAACACAGTTAAGTTAGCAAATTAAATTTAAAAAAACAATACTAAGAATGTCACCATCCAACAATCTATGAGTTTCTCTCTCCCAAAATAGCACGTTGCATTTCTCTTCACTGGAGAGGGAAACGAGAAGAGGGCCCCCATGCACACAGTGGAAATTCCTAAGAGGCACCAGAAGTGTTTCCATATGTGAGACTTTCAAGAAGAGGACGGGGTAAGAAAGGAAAGTGATGGGGAGCGTGATTCAAGGAAGAAAGAGATGTTAATTAAAACACATCTCAGTCGCTTAAATCTGAGGGATTCCCCTCCCCCCCTAAAAAAAATCAATTTTTTCAATATATATAAAAGCTTACAATTTGGGGGTGGGGAGAGAGGAAAATAGCGTTTTAAAATTCCTGGGAAAGGCAGCTTAGCTTTCCTAGATGAAAGCAGTTTCAGTAGAAACCTCAAAAAGGCAAGGGTCCTTGTTCAAATGAGTCGTCCCGTCCCCCCGCCAAGCCCCCAAGTGGGAGAGAGGTTTAAACTCTGCAGTGATACAGGAAATTCAACCAGAAAAAAACAACAAATAGACTGCAGTCAGATTCCCCTTAAAACACACATACAGAGTTAGAAAGACAATAGTCTGAGACTTCCGGTGAGGCAAGATGGCGAGCACCACGGCCGCTCCTGAGGACTGCCAGAACCAACTGGTCCCCAGGCCACCACCACGATCAGGGGAGGGGGGAACCAGAGGTGCCCAACACCACAACCCGGGAGGCTGTGCAGAACCCCCTCAATCCCACGGGGACTGGGAACACCTCACCAACGGCCCAGCACAGTTCCATGGCCCAGAGGCCTCCGGAGCTGAACAGAAAATGAAAAGATAGAAACCTGGCAAGCCAAAGATGTACACTGTCTAAAAGACTTCTACAAAAACAACAAACCCATACCAACACAAGAAATGCAAGACAACCTAGGGGACACCCAAATACCTTGGCTAACACGCCATCAACTACATGCCTTCTTAAACAATCCAGCAGTAAAGTCAGCAGCCACTAGGCCCCTGACCCCCTTCGAAAACCTTCTCCTGGCAGCAGAGGAACACGGCAAAGGGATGGTATCCACAATTCAATGGTACCTCGGAAGTCGAACGGAATCTATTCCGGAAGTCCTTTCGACTTTAAAAAGTTTGGAAACCAAAGCACGGCATCTGATTGGCTGCAGGAACAATCAAAGAACAATGGGAGCACAACATAGGCTATGAAATTAACCCCACCCAATGGACTAGAATGTGGTCTAAACCTCCCTTTAAGTCCATATCAGCCAAAAGAAGGGAACTCACTCTGAAACTCACCTACAGGTGGTACTTAACACCATGGAAACTAGTACTAATACACCCAGGAATCTCATCGAAATGCTGGAGAGGATGCACCTCCACAGGCACATACCTCCACATGTGGTGGGAATGCCCTAAAATCCAACCCTACAAGAGATCTGCAAAATAATTAAACAGGTATTAGAACTCACCCCAGAACTGGCCTCATAGCCATACACTGGAGAGACCTGTCAGGGGTAAACATGGGCCAATGGTATGAAATTGTATGGGAAACAGCCTTACTAGAAAAGCTAACCAATAAACTGAAACTGACACGGGGACAATAGAAGAGGATGCCTTCACCCTAGTATGGTTCCCCTTTATCACATATGCAGCCCAACAAGACAACATCAAGAATCTTCCAACAGCATATGAATCAATCTGGCTTACCTGACCCAACAAGGCCCCCCCCCCCAAATGCAAACAAACCCCACTGCAGGCGGCCAACCACATCCTGCCCCCCAAATACCCCTCCCTACCAAGGTAATGTAATAAACGAATAGAAAGAGAACCTATCCAGCTGATGCTGACACAAAACCCCACAAGTACACTATATAAAAGAGTGTAAGCCTCACCTCACCACACCACCCCTCCTCTTCTTCCCTAACCTTATACTGTACTCAGCACTAATGTCTCACAACAAATATAACTGATTTGTAAGAAAGACTGTACAACCTGGAAAAAGAGACAAGGCATGTACTTTTTTAAACCAAGAAAATCTTTAATAAAAATAAACACGCATACAGTGTCATAAACTGCTTCAATACATAATCAGAATTCTGATCAGAGCTCTGCTCCAATTCAACTCCCTTTCTCTGGCTTGCTGTTGCCAACAGACTCAGAGGGTGATGTGCGCGGGGGGGGGGTGGTCTGCCGGAAATGTGGGCAGCCCAGTCTGTGTGTTCTTCTGGCTGTCTCTCCTCCTGTGTGAAGCCAGCAATCTGGAAAGGCTGGTGATAACTTCAGCCTGATACAAGCCATGCCTTGTTTAGAAGTATAAAACTTGCATCTGCACCATACATCTAAAACACACTCAGACCACTTTAAATAATTGTGGTTCCCCGCAAAGGATCCTGGGGACTAATTGGCTAAGGGTGCTGTGAGTTGTTAGGAGACCCTTCTTGCCCTCCAGAGATCAATCTCTCTCCTCAGGGAACTATAGTTTTGTGAGGGAAATAGGGAGTCTTCTAACAACTCACAACACCCTGAGGAAACTGCAGTTCCCAGGATTCTTTGTGGGACGCCGTGACTGT